TAATTATCTATTTCAGTTAATGTTGATGATTGCGTTGTTCCTTAATTTTCGAATTGGATCCGGCTTATTATTTTTTGCAGACTGTAAGAGCAATTTTATAAAAGTAAGCTTAAACTTTCGATTATATCAAATAGAATTTCCGATAATATATTTGTTAATATGTAAAGGATCTAAAGCGAAAGTATGTTTTGAAATCCGAAATCTGTTTATCAATTTCACGCTGCTTGGCGTGGGGAATGCCACAGCGGGCACGTAATGAATTGGAAGTTGATCTGTCAGCACTATCCTTATCTTCAGGGCAGATGTCTTTATTTTATTTGGCTTATAATTCCTTACCAAATTAGTATTTCATCTCGATGTGCTCCGTCTTTGATATGATTTAAAACAAGTTCCTCGTCATTATAATTCGCTTCCGATAGCGAAGAAAGTGACAGAGGTTATTGAAAACGAAAAAATTTCGATTGACAAATTAGTCGGTGTTCTCGACACAGCAATTATAGGACTTGAACAGCGGAACTTTGTAACTGAACAAGAAATTATGTCTGTTTAATAGAATTAAAGAGAAAATATTATCACATGAAACGAAGCAAAACTTAAACAACTTACATTGAAAGAAATGTTTAATAAAGTAAACAAATAAATATTAAGCTTTTTCTTTTTACAAATTTTGATACCCTTTAGATCATAATTGTTCTTTATTTCATAAATTACGGTTTCATATTTTTAATTTTAGAATTTCTGCATGTCCTCTTACGAGATTTAAACTGATGATCTATAATCCGGAAAAATCGATAATCCGGAATCGCCAAAATCCCGACAAGTCCGGATTAACGACTTTTGACTGTATAAATAATAGATAAAATAAAATGTTCATCACAATTGGAATCCCGAATCAGGCCAAGGTTACTGTAATGTTGAACTATGGTTTGCAAAAATTTATTTTTTACAGCGTTATCGGCAATGTGTTTTTCAACCACTATGAAAGGGTGTTAATGGCATTTTCAAAAGTGCTTATCTTATTTGGGAAGTGAAATATTACCAAAAGTGCTATCAAAGTGTGGTTAATTTCTTTAGTTCCAAATTAAAATGTATAAGTAGTCTAAGATTCTATTCAGGGAAGATTATTAAATTTTATTGTTATTAGTAAGTCAAATTTATTAGTAAGTATTATTTATTGTTATTAGTAATTAATATACAAATACCACAGATTTAAGAAACTGAATAATCGTAATAAAATTTGTATGAGAATTTAATTAAGAGTAAAATGTATTAAAATTTGTTTGGAATTATGATAAATAAATGTTATAATTATCAATAATGGTACGTTACACATAAAGTATGTCGAGGGAGTATTAGTTCAGAAATACAGTCCTATTTTACCTCTGCATAATTGTTTCTTTTACCCTCCTAATATAATATAAACTTTGAAAGCTCCCACTTTATTTAATTCTTATATAAGATTTTTATTTTTTCATATAATAGAGTGTGAATTTTTTTTTAATCTAACGGAATGTATAGTGCAGTTCAAAAGGCCAGTTGCCCTTAAACAAGGAATGGAGGCCTTTATAAGCAACTGCCAAAAGCAACCCTTAACCATTCATGAAAATTTAGTACATGAGTTCGTTAAAGTGGTGATGCCCAAATAGCTGGATATGTGTGTACTACGAGAAAGCTGTCGGATCTTCCAGTTTGTGTAAAATAAGACAATTATAAAATGTAAAAGTAAAAACGATAATTTCAATCATGCTGTTAAAAATGGTAAAGTATTACTTATAAATGTTAAAATTAGTATGGTGTAAAATTTCAAGATTTATAATTATTCATAATAATTAATGGTTACATAAAATTTTTATAATTGTGATATTGTGTGTAAAATGTTTTTGAAATCCTTCTCTGAAGTATCAAAATTGTGATGTGAATGTCCCAGAAACAAGAACTTTTTACACATTGGACTCAAATCTTAATAGGACTTTAAAAATGTACAATTGTGTCAAAAGAATATAGTGCTTATAATCATTACTAAATTCAAAATTCTACAACTTATATTTTTTAATTGTTCAAAAGTTAATTTTATGTTTCGTATTTTTAAAATATTTCTCAGGTTTTGCTGCTTTAATGCCTTTATTTCTCTTAAAAAGGCTTCTCTATCGCTATGCCTTTTTCTTTTTTGAAGAGGAGAACATGCAAGATAAAAAATATGAAAGCAAACTTCTAATGTTAATTGGCTATAACCTCTCATTTTTAATTTAATTTAGAGACTTCCTCTTTCTGTCTTAGAAATGGCACTTATAAGTTTAAACTTCATCATTCAAATTAATCATGCGATCCTACATAGCGCATACTGCAGATATCTCTTGCCCAATCAAAGTAATTGTAAGCCAAAACTTTTTTAGTCCCTCCATTGTTCCTCTGTATTACTGCGACACTTTCATCCTGGCAAGATGCTGCTGTAATCATCTATGTTCTGCTATGATCGCTTCTATCATCATAGTGTCAAAATTGTAAATGTTCTGGAAATAGGCACGATTGAAGTGCCAAGTGAATTGTGGCCACAAATGTGAGTTGAAATAAATATGGAATTTAATATGGCTCAACTGCTTCTTCTTCAAAATAGATGGACGCTCTAAAGTATCAAGTCTACGCTTTTATGTCTAAGCGTTCTTACATTGGTGCTTCCAAAATTGTGCTTTTCTTATATATATATATATATATATTTACATTATATTAAATAAAAAAAGTGTACTGTTCTTAGAACAGAACATTTAACAAAATGCACAAATAAATCACACACAAAAAGACACTTTGATTCATAAAACGAAGGCAATACGGAAATCTTTTTTCCTTAAACAAGTTATTCCAGTTAACCTTCATCAAACTGGGAAAACAGGTTCATGGTTGGTTTAAAATCAAAGTCCAGTTGCTTGGCCCTTTGGTGACTTTACTTTCATTGAAAAAATTTATTCCATAATATTCTGATCATAATAACCACTTAGTGGATTATAATAGGTGATGAAATTTTAGTGTTTTACATATGAGCACATGAATGATAACATTAATAATAATTATACCAAGCAATACTTACTGTATCAAATTGCACCATGAATAATATATTAATAAATTAAACTACATCTAATATATTTCCATTGGTTATTTTGGTAATAAAAATTTGCATTGACTTTAAGAGTTCAACAAATAATTCATATTAATTTACACTGTTTATTACATTGCAAACTTGCATGTAGACAAAGCTACAGCAGCAATTGGAAATATTTTTCAGAATACGAAATACTGTTAAATTTATATTTAAGAAGCTATCTTTAAAGATTACATCTACCATGGAAAGTGAATATTACTGTATATTTATACAAGCTTTTCATAAATGCAAGACTTGTATTATGCACAAACACACATAAATAACCCATAATTTGACCTGGAACTGTTTTTAAGCATATGACAAAAAGTTTGATTAACAATTTCAGTAACACATTTTTTAGGAAAATACAGTCAATCAATGAGAAATTCATAAACTGTAGCATTACTGAAATATTTTATTATTAAAAAAATTGACTATGCCAAGTGCAATACAAACTATTCAAGATCTCTATTTTGTGTAAATGCTTCACTTTTTTTAAATATCTGTGAGGCTCTAAATTTTTTCCCCCTCTTTCTTAAAAGTAAATAAATGAAACAAAATAAAGATAAAAAAACTGAAAACTTTCAGATTTTATATTGCGCCCAAAGAACCAACTTCTTAACATTTTGTGTGTTAACTTTATTTCATGTTCTTCACACTTAAACCACAAAATTCCATTCAACAGCAATATTACAAAATAATTTGAAAAGAGCATAAAATTTCCAATACACAGCCTCGTGCGCTGGAGACAAATCCCCCCCCCGGTACAGTGTTGCCATTGCTTGCTTTGAAATAGTTGAGATACTTAATCAAAAGCTCATAAATGCTTTACAAAATATGAAATAGATAAGAAAACAAATTCCAAATTTGGGCTTCCAGATGCCCATATTTTGGTGGAGACATACGTTATTTAAAATTTGATGGCTCTAGGTACTGTTGTTTTATCACTACGCAAGAAACATACATACATTTATGCAGACTCTTCATTATACAATATAATACAAGGGGTCTAATATTTGGTGGCAACAATTTTAAAAATGATTTGCTGTTTATAATGAATCAGCACAAAATGCCCAAATGAAATTAATAGTCCTTCTGGGCAAACTGGCCCTTTGGACCCCCCCCCCCAAAAAAAAAAGGATATAAGAAAATTTGCTGCAGCAGACAAGATTACATTTGTTCAAATTGTTTTTGATTGCACTTTAAAATTCAGCAAATAGGGCAGTAACAGTATTCTGTTTCTTTTGACAGAAAATACATTTCTAATTTCATGATACACTAGTCATAAACATGTTTTCTTAGCAAATTACAGCAATGCATTATGGTAGCCAATTAACGTACTTACCTTTATGTTTTCAATTTTCCTTCTAATTTTATTGCATGAAAAGGAGAAAATATATAGTGCATACTATTTCTGAAGTGATGGCAAAAAGATAAATGCAACACGTTAAATAATTTGCTGAAAAAACTGCAGAGAAAATTACACAAAGGAGAGAAATATACTACTGAAAAAGGCAGTTCTACCTATGAAAATCTCCTTAATTGACAAATTTATGACTTTTTTCTAAAGATAAATAAAATTATGCATTTGGTAACAATGATTTTTAAAAGTCCACGTTTGCAAAATCTATTATTATATTTGAAGAAAATGAAACAGATGTTTATTTATAGAAAGTTTAGAACTAAAAAAAAAAAAAAAAACCTTCTTAATGATGGACTGCTGTTCAGTTAAATAGAATTTTGTCAAAATGAGATTCTTCTCATTGATGATAATTTAATTTTAATTAAGAATGATTAATTCAAGTGGAAGGGAAAATTACATACATAAATTTGTTAAATGGAATTAAATGAAATAAACTAAACTTACAATAGAAGAAATATAATCCCATAACTGTATGGAACCATCACCACAACTTGTCACTAACAGTTGTGGATTTACTTCACTCCAAGTGACATCAAATAAACCATCTGTCCATTCTCTTATGGCCACACACCTAACATCTTGGCTTTCAACATCTAAAACAAATAGCTGACCTCGACCTAAATAAAAATTTAAAAACTAAAATACTATTTTACGATAGGTGAACATTAACATAAAATTTCATTAAGAAAAAAGCACAGCAATTAAAAGTTAAAAAGGTACAATTTCATTTTTAAAATTAAAAGTGTATATAATCTGCCTAAATAAGGTACCTACAAAACAATAACATTTCACAAGTTTAACACACTGGCAGTTCAGTTAATTTATTAACTTATTGAAAGCATAGCTGTGTCCTGGAGTATTTAACTAAAAGGGAAAAAAAGTGAAGGACTACCAAAAAAATTATACAATATAAATGCAAAAGTGGTAAATATTTAGGGTGCTAAATTTTAAAATTCTTCTCGGTTGCTAAAATCTATCAGCATTACTAACAAAGGAAGGAAATTCCAATTTAAGAAACTGCAGGACTAACTTTTTCCTTTTTCTTAAAAGCTTCAGTTTCTTATCCCCACTGCACACATTTCTGTACCTGGCCCTGATAACAAAACAATACTGTCATTTATCTTTATAAAAAGACATTACACCATGATCTACAGATTTTAATTTTTATTATAAAAAACATTAATTTTACTTATTGCATTTAATTTACCAATGCCATGTTGATGGATTCACAATCCTTGTACGACTTTTTCCTAGTTATTAATCTCTTGAAAGAATTCTTATTAAATTAACTTTTAATTTCAGTTTTAAGAGTCTAAGTCTTAATCAACTTCTTAGTTTTCAGCATCTGGCTGATTGAAATATTTCACTATTCATGAATAACAGCCTACTACTTACAAAATGTTTTTTAGTTTTGTTTCCTAAATCTTAACTTTTCCTCGGTGAACTAACATTCAGTTGTAGTGGGATCCTTGGCACAGCCCTATCCCAGTATAGTAATTGCATCTTTTTTCGAATGTTGAAAATAGCATTGTACAAGTTCATAGAAAATAATAATTCGGTAAGCAGTTGAGGCGTGAAGAGATAGCAGTTTTGACATATTCAAAAGTAATGGCACAGTTCATAGCAATTACTGAGTTCATGGCCATTATTATATTGAAGAGAAGTCCTGAAAAAGTTGAAGAAGCGGTGAAGACCCGAAACTTGCTCAACAGTCAGGGAGTAACCTGACTGCTGAGCAAGTCTGCTATTGGCTGTGAAAGAGAAGTCCTATTGTATAAGATGAGATCTACAGTGTACTAAGGAGAGACACTAGGATCTTTTCAGTTTCTATACTAATTTAGGGGGATGGCCGAACGAATGAGGAATTGGGAGCAGATGGAAAAGATAAGCCTGCTACAAGTTTAATTAACCCTCTGAGCAGCCAGGGTTTTTGCTAAGAAAGCACAAATTTCCCAAAACTACTATTTTTAATATGCATGTATATATACATTCTTACAATTATCACAAGAAATATTCTAGACCGTATATATACGGCCTTGCCACTTAGAGGGTTAATGAACAGGAAGGATAAAAAGTTTACGTTTTTCAAATTATTAGTGCTAAGCCATACATTTTGATATACAGTACAAAGTCTGAAATCCGGACTCATCGGGACTTCAGCGATTCCAGATTTTTCTGGATATTAGATCATCAGATTAAATCTAGTACGATGACATGTAAAAATTATAAAATTGAAAATATGAAATCGTGATTTATGAAATAATGAAGTATTTATGATCTAAAAGGTATCAGAATTTACAAAAAAAAAAAAAAAAAAAAAAAAAAAAAAAAAAAAAAGAGGATGCTTAATATTTATTTGTTTACCAACCAGTTAACTGTGGTGCTCTCATTTAAAAGTGCGCACACCATTTGTGTCACCAGAATCGAGCCATGTACGAGTATATTCATCAATCCCACAGTAAGTTGCACTGGTAAGATATTTGATGAAAAAGATGGGTTTATTTTATAAAGTTGAAAATTTTATTACTGATATTTACTTATTTGGTTAACATAAGCATATATTACATACATATTAAACTAAAATGGAATAAATTAAATTAAATATTATACACATAAAAGCAAGAATTTAAATTCCTGCTGTGGAGTGATATTCAGCGAAACAGGGTACTTATACACAATGAGACTTTGCAAATCGAACACCAGTAACGCAATTCCTTCCTGATCTTACGTTTGTAGCAATGCAAACACCTTCGCATAGGGTTGTTTTTTTCCAATGTCCAAGGTATATAATCCGGAACATGATTCCCCCTAACTGGCTTGCTTATATTATGTCTAAATGGCCGATTTTGTGTCGATTTATTTCTTTCATTTGGACAAGTGTCGCAAAAGTGTCTTAAATTTGAGCAAAAAGTTGATACGTGATAATGTTCCATTATTTTTACTTCCTTGTACGAAGTATAAAGAAAGTATTGTAATCGCGAAAAGTTTCAGGCAGCATATTTCAACAAAAATATCCATTTTGACCACTTTTGAATGCAATTTAACGATGTTTTTGTGCGATATCTGTACGTAAGGACAGCATAAAAGACTCTTTTCCTCAAAAAAAATTATAAAACTCTTATAAAATTAATTCTGAAGAGAATTTTTTGTGGCATCTGTACGAACGTATGCACGTACTTACGTATCTCGCATAACTCAAAAACGAGTAGCCTCAGAATGTTGAAATTTTGTATATAGGACTATTATAACATGTAGATGTGCACCTCGTATTTTGGTTGCAATCGGCCACGCCAAACGTATATAAATATATTTATAAATTTATCCTCTCTGTTACCCAGCTCAGCGATCTCAGTTCTTTTACTCTTATATGTTTGTAAATTGTATATTTTTTGCTTTAAAAATGATTGAATTATATTGTTCTTATCTTCCGGTTAAGGTTTTTATGCCTTTAGCAAATCTGTATGCAATATTTTTGAATTATAATTAAAACTATTATTTTTAGAAATCTGTGTGTATATTTAGAATGCAAATTTTTAGAGAAATCAACAATTTTAACAGTTGTTTAAGTGCCGCTAAGCCTAATAATTTTTTTGATAGCGGCCATTGCTTGTTTACATTTGAAACAGCAGAGTAGTGGATTTGTTGCCAATCTAGAGAAACTAAGCTTCGCCGCAACAACAAAGATAACGAACGCCTTCATTTATTATTGCGAATTAAATCATGCTTAATTAATCCTTTCCTGGAATTTTTTTCGAGGAAATAACTGTTTAAATATTTACTTCGTGATTTTTAACAATTTAATTTTTAATAAGGTGTTTATTTTTGAGATTTTTAATATGATATTTTGAGATTTTTGCCTTTTGTCTTGTTGCGAAGTGAGAAGCTGAATTAATTGAATGAGAAATACTCAATCGTCTGTGAAAAACTGTTTCTTTTTTGTTTTGTTTGCTTAATTTCTTTCATACATCATTCTAGCTTTATTATAGTATTTGAATAGAACATGTAGCAACGATTAGATAATTTGGTACTTTTCCGTTTTGCCGGCGCAAGCGATAAAGTCGCCAATAATGGTACAACCGATGCCAAACGGAATATTCTCGCTGGTAACCTTTTAAGCCTCCTTTTCAAAACAAGTCGGAGCTTTTTCTTATCAGATTGATTGTTTCTTTCAATACTGGCATATAATTACATAGAATTTTTATCAGATAGTTCAGTTTTATGTCTAAGGCCATTTTCGGTAATTAAGTCAATCAGGATGCAATCACAGCGCTTAACCCGAAGCCGAAAATATAGAAAAGGTAAAGTCAAGTGTTAAATTCATCAATTCTAACGAGAATGCATTAGCAAAGTAAAGCACTGCAGTTTTACATAATTTCTGAGTAAGCTATTCGTACGAATTGAATATTTCTTGCATTTAAACTTGTGTTCCAAATTAAGATTTAACTTGAAATTAATGTAGATAATTACTGAGAGCATTAGATTTTTGTAGAGTAGTTTACGTGAGATGAGATCGCTTGGTGTCACGTGATATAAACCGGCGAATCAGGATGTTGAACCATGAAAGCATAGTAAATAATTCTAAATTAATGTCTTTTTACAAATTTATTGTCTTTATTTATTGGCTTTTTATAAAATTTTAAGCGATATTAAAATGTTTATGCCTTCGAAAAAGGAATTCTTAGAACTAACATTTTTTTAATATTTTTTATGTGTATACTGTATGTTGTCGCCAATAAAGTCTGCTTGGCGAGATTTGCGCCGGCGAAACGGAAAAGTACCGATAATTTTATTAAATGATATAAATTTTGTGCATTCTGGGTTATAATATGAACGAAATATAATACTGTTAAGTGAACCTAGCGCCGGAGTGTCGCTATGGTAAACAAATAAAGTGAATTTTAAAGAATGCATTTATTCTATTGTGGTTTATGTGCTGTCGGCAAAGTAAATTTAATTAAATCCAATAAGTTCAAGAAGAAATGCACATAATTTAATATTCCATACAAGGAAGTCATGTGGTTAGTTACATTGTTGAAGTCCTGTAACTGCTGTGTTGACAATTCCGACTAACTTGTCACTCGAAATTTTTTTTGTTTTCAGTAACTTCTCTGTCACTTTCTTCACTATCGATAGCGGTATTTTTTGGATCCAGAACCATACTACAGATTTGGCCATTCATTAATTGAATAATGATTGAGAAGCATTGTCATCGCAATGAAAAACTTTTTTTATATCATCTTCATTTATTACCGCTTCTCCGAATTTCTTTACAAAATCCGTTAATTGGAAAATTTCATCTTTGTTTTGCGATATCCGAAAAACCTTTAAAATTTGCGGCTATCATCATCAAATTTAGCTATCGTTCGCTATACACATTTGGCTATGCATCATGAGCTTGGCGACTAACAACAAGTTGTTCTGTTAAATTTTATCTTGCTTCTATCGTGCACTTAGACAACTAAGCCTGATTATTTAGTTATTTAATATACTTATGCCTATTTCTTGCACATGCTTAATGCTTATCAGAGTTCTGATTAAATAAATTTCCACATATACTTAAGCCTTATTTAGGGCCGACGCTAGATATTTTATCGCCTGATGCAGTCTCTGTGGGTTC